CGGACAGGTCATAGCAGAGAGCTCTGACAAAATGTGATCCACTGGAGAAGGAAATGGCAACCCACTCCAGTATCTTTGCCATGAAAACCCCATGGACAGTACCAAAAGGCAAAAAGATATGATGCCAGAAGATATCGGACGGTGTCCAATATGCTACTGGGGAAGAGCAGAGGCCTAGTACTAGTAGCACCAGAAGGAATGAAGCAACTGGGTCAAAGCCGAAAGGACACTCAGGTGCAGATGCATCTGGTGGTGAAAGGAAAGTCCGATGCTGCAAAGATCTATACTCCATGGAAAGGAAAGTCCGATGCTGCAAAGATCTATACTATAGGAACTTGGAATGTAAGCTCCATGAATCAAGGCAAGCTGGATGTGGTCAAACAAGAGATGACAAGACTGAACATCGACATCTAAAATGGCAAGGAATGGGTGAATTTAATTCAGATGACTATCAGGTATACTACTGCAGGCAAGAATCCCTCAGAAGAAATGGAGTAGCCTTCATAGTCAATAAAAGAATAGGAAAAGCAGTACTGGGATAACAATCTCCAAAATGACAAAATGATCTCAGTTCGAATCCAAGGCAAACCATTCAACATCACAGTAGTCCTACCCACAGATGAACTGATTCTAAAAAGGATCCTGGACTGTGCAGAAATGGATAGATTGACTTTACCATTGAAGGAGAAAGAAGATACTGACTTCTATCATACCTGGAACTCTTTTTATTATTGGCTAGAGAAACGGGACTTTGCATAGATTTAAATATGTTTTTAAATGATCATAAATGGAAAAAGAAGGGTGTGGGGGCTGACCCAGCAGGCTCGATGTTTTTGATGATGGATGTGGTTTGTAGTTTTCTTTTTGTTTTTTAGGATTATAATTTCTCAAATAAAACTTATTTAAAAAAAACAACAACATCACAGTTGTCCAAGTCTATGCCCCAACCACTGGTGCTGAAGAGGCTGAAGTTGACCGGTTCTATGAAGTCCTACAACTTCTTCTAGAATTAACACCAAAAAATGATGCCCTTGTCATCATGGGGGATTGGAATGCTAAAGTAGGAAGTCAAAAGATAACTGGACTAACAGGTGAGTTAGGCTTGGAGTACAAAATGAAGCAGGGCACAGGCTGGTAGAATTTTGTCAAGAGAATACGATGGTCATAGCAAACACTCTTTTCCAACAACAATTCAATACACCCAATTGAATGCAGAATTCCAGAAAATAGCTAGAAGAGATAAGAATGCCTTCTTAAATGAACAGTGCAAAGAAACAGAAGAAAACAATAGAACAGAGAGGACCAGAGATCTCTTCAAGAAAATTGGAGATATGAAGGGAACATTTCATGCAAAGATGGGCATGATAAAGGATCAAAATGGCAGGGACCTACCAGAGGCAGAAGAGATTAAGAAGAGGTGGCAAGATTACACAGAAGAACTACACAAGAAAGAGTCTGACCTCGAGCCAGACATCCTGGAATGTGAAGTCAAATGGGCCTTAGGAAGTCTGAGCAAAAACAGAACTAGTGGAGGTGACAGTACTCCAGCTGAACTATTCAAAATCTTAAAAGTCGATGCAGTAAAAGTGCTACGCTCAATATGCCAGCAAACTTGGAAAACTCAACAGTGGCCACAGGATTGGAAAAGGTCAGTTTACGTTCCGATCCCAAAGAAGGGCAATGCCAAAGAATGTTCAAACTACCGCACCATTGCCCTCACTTCACATGCTAGCAAAGTTATGCTCAAAATCCTACAAGCTAGACTCCAGCATTATGTGGATCGAGAACTACCAGAAGTACAGGCAGGATTTCAAAGAGGCAGAGGAACTAGAGATCAAATTGCCAACATACACTGGATCATGGAGAAAGCTAGGGAGTTCCAGAAAAACATCTACTTCTGCTTCATTGACTATGCTAAAGCCTTTAAGTGTGTGGATCACAACAAATTGTGGCAAGTTCGTAAAGACATGGGAGTACCAGACCATCTTATTTGTCTCTTGAGAAACCTATATGCAGGTCAAGAAGCATCAGTGAGAACTAGACCCGGAACCACTGATTGGTTCAAAATTGAGAAAGGAGTTTGGCAAGGCTGTATACTGTCGCCCTACCTATTTAACTTATATGCAGACCACTTCATGAGAAAGGCGGGGCTAGATGAATCACCAGTTGGAATTAAGATTGCTGGGAGAAATATCAGCATCCTCAGATATGCAGATGATACCACTCTAATGGCAGAAAGTGAAGAGGAACTAAAGAGCCTCTTGATGCGGATGAAGGAGGAGAGAGTGCAAAAGTTGGCTTGAAACTCAACATTAAATAAGCTAAGATCATGGCATCCGGTTCTCTCACTTCCTGGCAAACAGATGGGGAAGAAATGGAGGTAGTGACAGATTTTATTTTCCTGGGCTCTAAGATCACTGCAGATGGGGACTGCAGCCAAGAAATTAAAAGACGGTTGCTCCTGGGGAGGAAAGCTATGGCAAATCTAGACAGCATACAAAAAAGCCGAGACATCACCCTGCCAACAAAAGTGCATATAGTCAAGGCTATGGTTTTCCCAGTTGCAATGTATGGCTGTGAAAGCTAGACCATAAGGAAGGCTGAGCGCCGAAAAACTGAGGCCTTTGAATTGTGGTGCTGGAGGAGACTCCTGCGAGTCTTTTGGACCACAAGGCGATCAAACCGGTCAGTCCTAGAGAAGATCAACCCTGACTGCTCTTCAGAAGGCCAGATATTGAAGATGAAACTCAAATACTTTGGCCACCTAATGACAAGGAAGGACTCCCTGGAGAAGAGCCTAATGCTGGGAAAAACTGAAGGCAAATGAAGAAGGGGATGGCAGAGGGTGAGGTGGCTAGATGGAGTCACTGAAGCAGTTGGTGTGAGCTTAAGTGGACTCCGGGGAATGGTGGAGGACAGGAAGGCCTGGAGGAATGTTGTCCATGGGGTCGCGATGGGTCGGACATGACTTCGCGACTAACAACAACAATCCATTCCACTGTATGATTGCCAGAAAAAGTCCTACACCTTCCAGCTATCTAAATAGGCTATGCGAGTGTTGAAAACCTGTTCAATCATGTAAGTTTGTGTTACACACTCCATTACACCATGAATATTCAGCAATCTTACTTCAAGTTTATACAAACTCACATGCAACTAAGAGCAACAATTGATTTTTTTAATATTGTATATTTTTCAAAGAACCCAACAAATATCAACTACTGGGCACTTCAGTTAGGGTTGCAGGAAGGGGGATTTTAACCCTTCCCACTTGCCTTGGTCCTGGCAAAATTGCTCTGTTGCAGCTGCTATTCGCAGTCATTTGTTTTAAAGAAACAAAAGTTAAAGGAAGTGTTTGTCATCATGTCATTTTAATGCTTCCAATTTTGTATTCACCTGCTGTTTTTCATTATTTTCACTCATGTCTCTTCTATTGAAGCATTTTAGAAAGAACTTAGTAGAGAAGTATCTTAGCAAATCCCCTTGGGAAACCTGTGATCCAGGTCTGCCAATTAACTCCATGACTCAACTATTTCCTTACTTGATTTCTTGAAAGCTCTATCACAGTATCATCTGCACTACATTATTTAAAGCTCATTTTCACCTTATTTTTCTTGTTCTCCCTTTCTTTTCATTAGCAGGCTTGTCATCTTATAAGCCATGTCTTTCCTCCAGATATATGTGTATCTCTAGCCTGCTAATCCCATTCACATGAACTTTTTCTACAGCTTTGGTTTCCTTATCTTTAATTATATGTCCTTGTCTGGTTCCCTTCCTTTCCATTTCCAGCATGGTTGATCTTTTTTTAAAAAAATATTCTGTCTTAGACTTTGAATAGTCTTTGTGAAAACAGAGTTTTGTTGAGAGTTTTTATTTCCCATATTCAAATCTTTAAAAAGAACTGCTGACTTCAGGCCCTCCTCAGTGCATTTTCTCTTCTAAACTCCCCTCCCCACAACACACAATACACTTTCTTTTCACAAGGCTTTCATGAATGCCAATTTACCTACAGTGAGACAAAATGACAGATCAATGCTTCTTGATCCACTCAAAGTTCAGAAAGGATGCAAGATCCCATCTACTAGCCTGGACAGCTTTCTACACATTATGGAAGAGATGGTGCTCATTCCCCCGTTTCTTCCCACTCTGTTTTCCTTGTTTCAAGTCTATGAGTTTTGCATTCATAAGCCTCCTTAACTACATTGGCAGAAACATGATATATAAACTTAGGAATAAATGAAGTATGTACCATTCCACAATACAAAAGAGGGTCTGATTTGGTGCTGGATGCTAGGACTCACTATACTGAGTATTGAGTATTCAATTCAAATCAAATGCCAGTTGCCCCTTTGCATGTACAAAATTCTGAGGTTCCTCAATGTACTTCTATCCATACACAGAAATAGATACAGTGCAAATCCTGGGAGTCCTAGGGTAGATTATCATGGCAGATGCTGGTTACCATGATTCATCTAGTCAAAGGCCTCCACAACTATATCTGATTGTTACTACTTTTCTTCCATGTGACAATATGGAGCTTATCATGCCTGTGATTTTTACAAACCAGAAGCACATTCATACACACATTACACAAGCTTAGCCAAAAGGACAGTGTGTGTATACAGGCCCAAGGACATGTGTGCAAATCCCAAATCACTGCAAGATGAAACAAAGTAATCAACCAACATAATTTTGATACAGGCTACATAAGTCTGCTTCATTACAACCCACCTCTGTCTTTTGGCATTCTATGCAAACAAGAGATGGTCCAGAAGACTGATTACTATCTAGCTAGACAACACCAGGTGCACACAATTATGAGAATAGTTCTACAATACTGTAATAATAAAGATGTGCTCCTTAATAAGCTGGACAGGACACTTAAGAGAAAAACCAGTAGTAACATCTGGTAGCTCCATGCCAGATTCATGCTTTGAAAATGTAATACAGTTCATTCCTGAGGCTGACTGGCTTTTGGTACACCACTCATAGAAATTTACCTCATAACCATATTTGTGTTTCAGGTTCCAGCGACAGATAGGACATTGGCCAGAAGGATTTGGCGGGGTTGGGATATCTTCTTCTACAACTTTGCCTTCAATCTAGGAAATGGAAGACAGATTGATGAAGGAGGGAAAGTTATAAATAACAGAATTCTGAATATACTTTAGATAACTGTTTAATTCCCAATGCATACAAATATATTAAATCTAAGGAAAAAAGGTAACTGACCCTTAGCTGCAATCTAGAAACTAGTATTTGGAGACAACTTCCTCCCTGCCAACACTCAGTTTAATTCCAAAGAGCAGCAAGAACTTTACAAGCACTAAGTTCAACTGCTTACAAGGAAGATTCCAATTCATAATAGAGCAACAAATTCATAGCCTGCCTGTTAATAGACATAGTTCCCCATAAAAGGCGCAGAAACTGCAGCACTCCCTGACCAGAACATCTATCCAGCCATGAGTAATTATTTAAGATTAACACCTTGAGGATATCATCAAACTTTGCTTCATATGTTACAGAGGGTTGAAGTTGGCTTGTTTGATTAAACAGCTGTAGGAAAGAGATTTGCCCATTTGTCATGACTGCACCATCATCCATAACAAAAGGATGGCTCCCTGCAGTATACTTTTCCCAAAGTCTAGTCCAGATTTAGGTTTTTTTTTTAAAGTCCAAACTGAAGGAGTTCAGAGCCTCCCCCTTGGGTAGATATTTCAACAACTTTTCAAACAGCTTTTGCGTTCTTTTTAAGGAGACCCATAAACAAGTTAGAAAAATAAACCCAGTTTTCTCTTATTTGATCCAGCTGCAAACATAGTTTTTTTTAAAGCAAAGTAATCTAAAGCCAAAACTCATTGGTTTAATTTTTTAAATCTTGTTTTTTAAAGGCTCTGTAGTAGTTTTGACCTTGTTGCAAACACCACTGAATTCTGCAAGCACAAGATCTGACCACAATAGGGTCATCTGGTGCAGTCTAGGGGGTAGAAAGTGGCATATGGATCAATTCAAAATTGCCTTTCCTTGCCTTAAATCATATCATTTACATTATATGCACTATTAATATTCATATGTTCATCCAGTAACAAAGAATCCTGAAAAAGTATCTACAGAAGGACTCTTTCCATGTTAGTGTGCCACTGTGACAATCTGGAGAGTGGTCCATGGCAAGCACTGTCCAAACACACAAAAGGCTGTTAATCTAATCTCTAAATGGTATGTGTAATGTTCTCCTCACATGTTCCTGTAGGTGCGACTAGGGGAGGAGAAAGGAGCAGCACAGCATAATCCTATGCCTGCTAGACAGAGCCAGCATGGAAAAGAAACTGGAGATGGGGCTGATCGGGCATTGCAGAGGACAAGGAAAGAAGGAAGACAAGTGCTGCCACAATACAAGATATTCTACAGGTGCCTCAGCCTCCTTCCTTTGTACTCCAAGGTACAACCCTTACATGGCTGCAAACATCCATCTAAGTGCTTTGCAAACAGGAGAAGTACAGAAACAACCTACACTTTGTGTTCCTTTTGCCCTTTATAGGATGCCCATAACCTCTGAGTTCTGAGACTGAACTGACCTTTAATTACTCTTACAACTGACATCTCAGACTTATAGAACAGCAGGATCACACAATGTATCAGTTCAGAGAATTGCACCAATCCATAGCAAAAACTGTATCTAAAACAGGAGTGCCAAAAAGGTAGCCTGGGATCTACTAGTAGATCATTAGGTTATTTGCAGTTCTCCTCTCATGTAATAGAGAACTCCAGAGCTTCTTTACCAAAAGATTTTATTGTTACATGCCTGTGAGTACACACAGTGAAATGTTGAGCCCTCTCTAACATCCTCATTCCCAACCTTTCTTTATAGCCCTTTCGCTATTTGACTATGGAATCTTTCTTCCCATTTCTCACCCAATTGAACCTCCTACTGATGCCTGGCAACAAGCACCACCTCTTCAGGAGGAGGGATTTCCATGTCAGACAGGCTGCTAAGACCAGGGCTCTCGTCAGGCTCCTCATCCCATACCTCCTCAAACATCCTCTGAACCTAGTTCTGAGAAAGAAAAAAGGGTACCCTATTTCTTAATACTAAGTGTCTGACAGCCCCTCCCTGCTAATTTGTATCTTACTCTACCCAAGAAGTTCTTGAGGTTCAAGTGAGAAAACAAAGTCTGAATTACTGCCTCTGCTTTAAAAGACTGGTTTTATGTTATTTTTTAAAACAGCTCCACATGTTTAAGGTTTTAAAGTTATTTTTTTCAAGGGTATTTTCCAGAGAAACAACAGTTTTTCTGATCCCATGCTTTCTGGCTCTTGAATGATAAAGCTCAAAAAGACCCTGGCAGTCATCTAGTTTAACAAGTGCTGATTCTACTCTAGAATGGCCTGGAAGATGAAAATTAATACCCATGCCTTGCCTTAAGTATCTTCACAAAGCTCTGCTAAATGCTGAATGAAGGCAAATTACACTTTTCTCACATGATTTTGGCTTTAATTTGCCACCAGACATTTATAGTCCCAAAGAGAAAAACAAAATGTTTCAGAGAACATCTTCAGATTACATTCATACATCAGCAGGAGAATAAAATTAAACAAGTGACCTCATTTACAGAATATATTTAATTTTATCTGCACTATGTTCTTAACATCACAGAGTATTTCTTTTCTTATGAATACAATTACCCAATAAAGTACAGATGGAAATTTTCAGTGAGCTATATTATTGTTGGTGCAATGACAATCTTTAGGATTTAATACTTAAAATACTCTTATCAGTTAATACTACAGGATGCCTAAAATTCAAGTAGGAAGTGATCAAAAATCAAATGAAAAATCATCCCACATTAAGAGAACATGATAGATCTTCCTATCTGTTCTGCCTGTTTCTCCCAATCAACATTTATGGGTAATTTAAGCAGGAAAAAATCTAGGCCCAAATTATTTTACTATGTAGTGCTTTGAGGTCTCTTTTTCCTACCAGAGAAGATTGTTTCCTTCAGAAGACCTCTCTACACCTAGGCATAATGCCAATATGTGAAGCAAAATTACACAAATAATCATAAATATTTTAAGGCGTGTTTTACCTCAGTGAATTACAGGCATCACAAGTAATGATACTTATTCTATTTCCTATGAGATAATGTAGCACAGCCTTCCACAACCTAGCAATCTCTGGACAAGCTGGCTGCAATGCCCATTATCCCCATCTAGCATGTCCAATGACTGTGGTAACTGGAAATGATGAGAGTTATAGTCTAACACATCTAAAGACAGGATAAAAGGAAATGTCTATCTACCATCTCAGAGAATAGAAGGTATCGATTTGTATCTTAATAATGAATAAACCAATCAAAGCAACAAACCAAACAATGAACTGATACCTTTTAGAAGGCTGAGAAAAGCCTCTCTGGAAAAGGAGTTTCACAAGGGAAAGCCACAGATGGCAATCCCTTAAGCCTGTTTTAAAAAATCATGCAAATACAGCAAACTATATTCTGGTCTGAAGGTGAGGATGCAAAGATTATTGCTTTTTTTTAATAATCTTTATAATAATACAGTGGTACCTTGGCTCATGAACTTAATTCGTTCCACGACTCTGGTTGCGACCCAAATTTGTCATGAGCAAAGTCAAATTTCCCCATACGGTTCAATGTAAATAAGGTTAATCCGTTCTGTAACTTTTTTTTTTAATCACAAATATTTGAAGCAAAGTGACAAAGAACAACAAAGATCGTGGCCATCCCCCCACCCGAGCACGATCTCAGCCACCCCCCCGCCCACCGAGCACGACCCCCATCATGCCTGTGTTCCCTGCACGAGCACAAGTCCGGCCTTCTCCTCCCACCTCCAAGCATGATCACAGTTGCGCTCGTGTAGGGAAGACAGGCATGATCGCCATCATCACCCAATGCAGAGTTTGTGACCTGAGGCAAAATTTTTCTGAAATTTCTGTTCGTGACCCGATTTGGTCATGAACTGAGGCGTTCAGGAGCCGAGGTACCACTGTATAAAGATTATTCCTTCCTGTGATTATAATAATAATCCCAAGAATGTGAAAGATGCAAGAATGCTATTATTGAAGTTAATGATGTACAAGTTGCCCTGGATAATTATACCCAACCGCTCTTGGGTTTAGATATGATATTGAGGGTTAATCAGGCAAAGTCTAAGAATCCAATGTACAGGGGTAAGTCAACATGGTTTGATAAAGAATATTTTGAAACTAAAAAAATGCTTAGACAGTATTATCATCAATACAGAACAGATAACTGTAAAGGACTACCTCAAGTACACTACTATCTTAAAAGCATTAAAGATCCTAGATAGTTCAGAAAAAGAATAAAACTATGCAAAGGCAGTGAAATAGTCTGATAAATTATTCTTTGGAAATGAATACTAAACACTTTTGGTCAACAGTTACACTGGTGCAATAGGCAATCTCTCAGGTTCAAAAATACCCACAAATCCTGCCCTGGTTTGGGGAACACATTTTTCTGCAATTTTTAGGAAGGCCAGTAAGCAAGGTTAAATGGATTATTTTGTTCCCTGGATATTTCTGATCTTCCAGACTAGGGCACTGTGACTCAGTCTAAAATAAAGGTACACGTTTCTCATATAAATTCCAAAAAGTCTCCAGGACTGGATTCAGTTATGCCTAAACTACCGAAAATTAATGTCACATGATGAGCACCTTTATTAGCAGCACTATTTACATAAATTAATAGGACTGATCCATTACTCAATGACAGGTTTCAGGCTATTGTAATTCCTATTCATAAGAAAGGAGATAGAAATTATACTTCCAACTATCATCCTATAAATGTACTTTCAATGGTTTGTAAACTATAAGCCTGTTACCTTAACATACTCGTTTCGTGGATTGAAGAAAATATTTCTATTACTTTAGAAGAGGTAAGTAAATACTTGACTATTGCCTTGTCTTAGGCCATCTGTCAAAAAAATATACAATATCTCTCGACAAGGCATTATATGCTGCTTTTATAGATCTAAAATCTGCTTCTGATCCAATTCCTAGGAATAAGCTATGGGCTAAGCTTTATTCCTCTTCCATTTAAAAGATCACTCTATTTAATTATGCATTTATATCTGAACACTACTGTTCTAGTGAGATGTGGAAAGGGGAGGGGAACCCTGACTAACCCCACCCCTATTACCAGGGGAGTTTGTCAATGTTGCATACTTGTACCCACACTATTTAGTCTGCATCTTAATTGCCTAAGGTTTTTTCCCCCCTCATGGGACTTCTAAGGACACAATCCAGCAAATATTAGTGGTAATTATACCCAATGAAAGCAATGGAAAGGGACTTGAACAACCTAAATCCCATTCCACTGCTTTCATAACCAATGTCTGCTGGATTGCACCTGGAGTATCTTAAGTCTATGGCTCCAACCCAAGTTCAAAGTCAACATTTTAACAAAGAATGATTTACACTGGAAATTTAACCCACTTTATAAATTCATGGTAAATTTCAATTAAACAATCAGACACTTATTTTAGAACAAGCCACACTTGAAATACCTATCAGCTAATGAACATGGGTAGATGAGTAATAATCTATAGAAATTATGGCAATGGAATCACAGGAGAGATAACTCATGTCAAAGAAACACAGAACTTGGTGTGAGAGAAGAGGAAAAAACACAACACATGAGGGCTGTAGGAAGAGAGACCAGAGTGCTGGTATGTTGTTACTTATGAACTGTTTGCTATGATAGGCCTTCTTCTACACTTGCTCATTGCCTTCCCCATCAAAAATTATGTTTTAAAAGGAGATTTGGCAGAGCATCATTCTATAGCAGTTGCCTCATGTGGTTTTGTTAGAATTTAAAATTCTATGTCATTATCCTTGTTGATTGAAACACCTACTGTTTTGCTTTTGTGCATTACATTGCTATAGCATTACATTTAGTTGACATTCAAGTCAGTGGCTACTTGCTTTCTTTAAAAAAAAGAAAAGGAAAATGGATGCTTGATGTTTCATTTTAATTCAACAAAAAAGTTTCCATCAATTATCAATGAATGAATGGATTCTAAAGGCCCTCCTCATATCACTTCTGGTGCAGGCATCACTGAGGCATGGCTTTTCCGCACCATGAGGTTAACAGCTGCTGCAGCAACTTGCATGCTGTTATACTCAGAAGAAGCTCCTTTATAACACACCTCTTCCAGAGCTGTAGACATTCCTAACTTCTCCATTGAGGCAGCAAGGGATTGAGATAGTGAGCAACAGAGAATTCTAGATAGTATTCAGAAGATTACAAAGGTTACCTGAAGGCTCTCTCTGGGATAATTACTATAGTTCAATATAAATTTACATTTCTAAATTTACATTGCTTTGAGACTATTCACTTGCATTTTTCTATACAAACAAAATTGCTGGCTTAGAAGCACAAGAATCTGCAAATATGATAGATGTGGTACTTACAATAGTGGTGTTCCCTTCAGTAATTCTTACAACTGTAGACATAAAGAAAAGAACAGGTATCAAATGCATTCACAACCAAATGTGCATTTTGCTTAGTAAGAAATTTACGCCTTTGAATCACCAAGAGCAGAGGTGTTAAAATTGGTATAACTTGATAAGAAACATTTCATCAGAATGGGGATAAAAAGTATTCCATACTGTTTAAGTAAAGGCAGGCAATATGACAGCTTGAACCTTTTAACACTTTTCTGATATTTGCTTTCTAACCATTCTCTATCACTCCAAAAAATAATTAGATTATTATAGAATAGGGTAATCAAACATAAATCTAGCCTGCATGAAGAGGAAATTCTACTACATCTTATGGACTAGTGTGACACCACCATCACAAATTATCATCAGGTAGCATTTCAGAACTCTTTCTTTTTAGAATGCTTCCTACTGCTTGGCTTTTAAATATGACAGTGACCTGATTCACTATAATTGTCAATTAATCCATAAATTGCCAAAATCTAGTGTGAGCAATCATACTGCCTCCAGTGCACCCCTCACTTCTGCTTTCAGTTAACAATTTATAATCATCACATTCCTACGTTGTTACAGTGACTGTCTACATTATTCTTGGTCAAGCATCCAACATGCTGTGTGCATTCTTGTGCCCTGCTTGTCTTGGCTGCTTATAGTGACCAGGTAAGAATCAAATAGTTGGATCTAGGAGGTGATAAATTACATTTGAGAGAAGTGCTCTTCCTAACTGTTTTAAAAGAGACAGTGGTTCAACTGCTCCTGAAGAAATATCCTTTAGATACTCGATAGTGACTATCAATACCTGAAAAGTCTTGATAGTTATCAGCTTAATTGTCAATATTCTAAAGGCAAGGTGATCAAGTAAGTAGTTGCTATTCGGCACCAGACAATTGATTAGACTGATTTTCTATATTTCAATTAGGATTTAAGCCTGGTTTTGGCAGAAAGACTATTTCAAAGGATAATCTGTACTGGGAAAACTGAAGGCAGAATGTGAGCCTCTTGATTCTCCTAGGTTTCTCAATGCTTTTTGATATCAACAGTTATGGTATCTTTTGGGATAGGCTAGAAATTGGAGGCAGTGATTCTGTTCCTAGCCAGATGTCAAAATCCAGAATTTGTTCTTTGGAAACTACTGCTAAACTACTTGGCATTCATTTTTGGGGTTCCACAGGTTTCTATTCTGCCTTGCATGTTATTTGACACATACAAGAAACTTCTGATCCAGGTCTTTTTAAGGTTTGGTGTGTTCCCCTTTCCACCAAATTCAGGTGAAGTGGTGGAAGAGCTAAATCATTCTTTGGCTACAGTTACAGGCTGGATGAGGACTAAATTCCAGATTTAGTAGGGCAGAACTCAGAACATAACATACTGTCCTTTCTGTACCAAAGCCCTTTTTATTTTCCTGAGTATCGGAGATGCTGTTTTAATCCTACCAACTCGTTTATGCTATTTTTATGATTTTGTGGTTTGTAGAATCCTTTTTATAGATTTTGCATTGTTTTTATAAACGCCCAGAGAATATAACTGTTGGGTGATATTAAAATACTTAAGAAGCAATTATTGGAAAAGGTTCAGCAGGTTTTTTTTTAACACTTTTGACCAATGATGAAAATGTTGGGCTTTGCCATCATATTCACTCTGGCCCTGTCCTTCAATTTTTGATTCAAGCATACCCCTTCACACCCACTAGTAGTAACCAGTGCTACTAGATGAGAAAATGTTGTTATATATGTGCAACATTCCTTACGCACTCTCTCTCACACAAGAATTCAGGATTGCTCAGTACAGCAGTTACAGTTGCTCAGAATAGCAGTTTCATAAAGAGGGTGTGCTGGAAATCAAATGTTTCATTCCTTCTGCTTAACTGCTGTCACTGCCCCAACAACAGCCAAAGAATTCTGGTCATATATTCCTTCCTTCCCAATAGTAACTGCCCTGTAGCAACAGAATCTCTTTTCACTCTCTCAAAGGTTGGGGGAAGAAGTGCAGCATGGAGAGGATAAGATTTCCCTCCCTCCCCTCACAACAGCGCAGAATGGAAGGAACACAAACAGGGAAAACTTTACTCAGTCCTTCCCATTATATGAACAGCAGATATACTTCAAGGTACAGATGCTTGCCATAAACAGGAAACGTACATGGGGAAAGAACTGTGAAATCGAGAATTGTGAACCTTGGAGAAGATTCCTAGTTAAGTCTAGCAACAGGACTGCAGACTGGCTCAAATCTAGCCAGACCTCCCTGGAAATCCCACTGAACTCAACAGAACCTGCTCCAGGAGGATTCCTTTTACATGCAAAAAGAAATTAAGGAGGGGGGAAAGGACTCGACTAGACACTGCTCCTTCAAGATCCCTCGCTACTTCAGATAGGACTCGATCACCTTCCCTATCGAGAACGCTATTCCTGTATTTGCCGAATTTGTTCTTCGCTTTCCCTCCAAAGAGTATAACAGCCGACTAGTTCTCCTATTTGCGATGCTCCTGGCCTCTCAGGCTCTCTGGCCCCGTCTGAACGAAAAAGGAGATCCCAGCCCACCGCGTTCCGCTGCTTTCTCGGCAGCTGCCAGAAAGAACCTTGCCTGCTCGTACCGCTGGCCAGCGCGACACCCTTGGCCTTATCCGTCTTCTTCCTGGGCTTGCTTTAAGACCCAGACAGAAAGAACCGAACCGTTGTCGCTTACCCTGCCGAAATCCGCGGTACGGAACCCGAGCCCAGGCGCCCCACAAGAAGCCAGACACGAGCTGCCTCCAACCGGTGCAGAGCCCCAGAGAAGCCGCCATCTTGGCTCTCCTCCACGACTTCCGCTTCCGGGTCGACCGAGCGCCTTCTGCCGGTCGGCCGACCGACCGGCGTGCCACCCCCTGGGCGGGAAAGAGTCGAGGGTGTGCTGTCGTCGTTATTTTTGATGCCAACGGGGCGGCCCTGAGCCCCATGTTATTTAGGGCGCCATTCTATGCACGCTTGTGCAGAAGGGAGTTGCACAACACCTACCATCTCCAAGCCAGCATGGCTGGATGGAGAACGCAGTGAGTTGTAGGACTTGCCCTCGCTAATTCTTTTTAGGATTGTTCTATTAGTAACTTTGCAGTATCTTCCACTACTCTGGTTATTCATTCGCTTATTTTGGTGTAGTCATGATTGTTAATGCGATTTCAGACGTCCACCCCACGATAGAATTTGTTGTCTCTAGGTGTCTGTCTGTCTGTCTGTCTGTCTTTCTTTTTGATTAGAGGAAAGTAAACGTATAATTGGGCAAAATGTTTAAAGAGTGATTTAGGGCATGTTTAGACAGAAGTCGCACAACCAAGAATTCTTGGGAGTTAGAAATTCCCAAGTATGCAACACATTATCTTAACAGTTCTTAACCTTCTAAGATGCCTTAGCATTATTGTGATCAAACACTGTACAGCTCCTTTTAAAATAATTTTAATGCATCAGCGTTTGTGTTCATGCCTACACATTGAAGTCAAGTCAAGATGCATCTTCCTTTAAATTTTAGAGATTCTTGGGTAGAGCCTGGAGCCTGGCTTGCCTTGGTGACTTCAAGGGCCCATGACCTTTCAGAGAATATGTTTGTCTCCATCCAAGTCTGTTATTCTTTCTGTGCATGGACTTGCTAGGGAAAGAAATGAGTCCTTGTCAGCTCACCATGTTCTGCTTGCACTTGCTGCTTGCATCACTAGTTTGGTCCATTTCATGCTTTGCCATTTGCCCTGCCTTGTGTTTGGAGTACAGCTGTGGGGATGTAAGGAAGGGATTTTTATTTTCCCTTGTACCAAGTTGTAGGAAGGGCTGTAGATATTAATTTGCTGCTGTTGCCTCCTGATGCAACTTAGCTTGGCCTAGGGCAGGGAGAAGAATAATTTTCCTGCAGATAATGCTATGGAGGAAAATATGTGGTACTGGGTAAATGTGTGAAGGCCCTTGCCAATGTACTGCCACTGAGGAAACTGTATTGATGGCCTTGAATAAGTGGCTTCATCCAGCCTTCCCAGCCCAGTAGGCCATATCCTGGACACTTTGTGAGGAAGAGTAGGGTATCAATATAATAAGATCTTCCTGCTCCAATCTCACAACATGGCTGGGGGTTGGCAACACTGGTGCTGATGTTCTTCTGTCTTCCTTCCACATGCTGCCACCTTGAATGCTAGCTACTGATAAGTCAGAGGCAGATCACAGTTAGCTGGAAATCCAGGTGGTGTTTCAATGAATGAGAGTAATGGTTGGAGCAGAGTGCCAAGCCTTGGAAAGTTTAGCTGTAAGTGGGGGCAAGTGCTTCACTGTTGGGGAGGAAGAGTGATAAAGCAATACATTTATATCACCTGTAGCCCATTCCAACACAAGTCTGTAACAGGAGGAAACACATGCTGCTATCCTCACACTTGGTGCCCTTTCCCACCATCTCCACATTGCACAAATGCCACAGCAAAGGGGTGGCTGACTAGGATCTCCAGAATACCCACTAGAGTCAGTGAGGCAGTGGCAGGGGTAGATCCTTCTGGTGAGGATAGGAGCATGGCAAATGGCAGTTTTTAGTTTCTCCCACTCCACCACCTGATGCAGGCACTTCAGCCTGCTTCCTGGGAGGGGCAGCCCTGCATATGGCAGAGAAGATGTGGGAAGAAAAATAGGGCAGTTGCTATTGGGCATATGTTTTCCCCTATCTTTACTTATCTGTTCTGAGGATACCCTGACCTGGTGATCTCTCAGTTGTAGCGAAATATTGTTTGGTGTTTGGCGTTCTAGCAGTTTATCCTGCAGTGTGATGGTGGGCTGCTGTTCGGGAAACAGATTTCCAGAGAACCCTGGAGTACCTGGTTTTGGTCACTTGGAATCTTTCAATTCTGACGAGGAATTTTCTCACAGGCAAAATTACATCAATACAGTGGGTATATTATTATTATTATTATTATTATTATTATTATTATTATTATTATAACATTTCTATGCCGCCCCTTGCCGAAGCCTCGGGGCAGATTACAACACAATAAAATACATTGAAATACAATAGAACATAATAAATTACCACTAAATACAAAAATACAAAAAATACACTGAGATACAAACATAATAATGTAAAATTAAAATTAACAGTATAAAATAAGTAAATAAAGAATATAGGAGGAGAAAAGAGAAGGAAGAAGAAGTTGCCCTGGCCAGATCATATATTTTTACAATTAAAATGATGTTTAAATAAAAAGGTCTTTACCTGGCGCTGAAAAACCAGTAACGACGGTGCCAGGTGGACCTCTTTGGGGAGTGAATTCCATAGGTTGGGCGCCACCGCAGAGAAAACCCTCCTCCGAGTACTTACTCTGCTAATTTCTTTCATGGAGGGTTCCCGGAGAAGGGACTCTCCCGCAGATCTCAAGGGGCGGTCGGGCAAATACGGACGTAAGCGCTCGTTCAGGTAGCGAGGACCCAAGCCGTTTAGGGCTTTATAGGTCATAACCAACACCTTGAATTGGGCCCGGGCTTCAATGGGAAGCCAGTGAAGCTGATGGAGGACTGGAGTCATGTGAGCATAACGCCCCGTCCCCGTCAGCAACCTGGCAGCTCTGTTTTGCACCAATTGAAGTGTTCGAACCGTCTTCAGGGGAAGCCCCACGTAAAGCGCGTTACAGAAGTCTAGGCGGGAAGTCACCAGCGCATGTGTCACCGTCGCCAGGCAGTCGTACTCCAGGTAGGGGCGCAGCTGAGGGATCAGCCGAAGCTGAAGGAAGGCGCTCCTCGCCACCGCTGTCACCTGAGCTTCCAAAGAAAGCTCCGGGTCGAGGAGTACTCCTAAGCTGCGGACCTTGTCCCTAAGGGGGAGTGTTGCACCATTCAGGACCAGGTCAAATCCACCCTCTCCGAAGCCCGATCCGCCAACCAACAGGACCTCCATCTTGTCTGGGTTGAGTTTCAGTTTATTGGCCCTCATCCATTCCCTTACCTCGGCCAAGCACCGGTTCAGCACAGCCACTGCCTCACCTGGATTAGTGGAAAACGAGAGGTAGAGCTGGGCATCATCAGCGTATTGATGTGAAAAGGCTTTTCTATATGGATGTGAGAAACATCTGTTGCAATAGTGAAAGATACCTGACCTAGCATTCTGGTGAAACTCAGGTAAATCTTTATCTTTCCCCACAAAAGTAGGCACAGTTTATTTGTGACTTTACAGAATTGTGTGTAAATTATCATCTACTGTACCTACTGTTTTCTACACTTATTTATTATATCTTCACAACAACAGTCCTGTGAAATAGATTAGACTGAGAGTCTGTGACTGGCCCAAACTGACCCAGTGAGCTCCATGCTTGAGCAAGGACTAGAAACCTGAAGCTCCCAGATCCCCAGTCCAACATTCTAACCACTATACCACATTGGTTCTCAGGGTCAAGGTTTACAGTTTTTCAGGATGAAAATGCATCACGAAGGAAGATACTTTCAAATGAACCTTTTCTTGCACCCTCACCTGCCTCGTTCACAGAATTTCATAGGGGTTTAGATATTATCATCTTCCACTCATAACACTCCCATTTTTTCCCATGACTTCTTTCATTTACTCTCAGAAATAGGCTTCTCTCTCTCTCTCTCTCTCTCTCACACCCAGAGAGTTCGGCTTACTTTCTATGCCTATCTATGCCTCGTATAATGCCACCTAATTTAATGCACATTAACTGTTCTCATAGAAAATTTAAACCAGAAGGCAGTCTATTTGTTTCTCATGTTTACTTTCCTTATCTGATCAAAGAGCATTTTCTAGCATGATAGTTAAGTGTAGATAGTTCAGTCTTAAGGCTTTAAACTATGTGCCAACTTGGGCAGAAGCAATTCATATCATTTGTGAGCATATCATTGTTTTGATATTATTTTTTTTTACAATTCTGAATTTGGAAACATATTAAATTTGTTTAATTCTACAAAGATTTTTATTCAGAGGAAAAAGAGAGAATTCCAGATACTAGTTATGCATTATATGAAAAGAAAAAAGTATGCCTCTTTCCACAGTTTATAGCCATCAACCATATAATTGTCTATAACTGAGCAGGTGCTAATATTGTGAGGCTTTTTGAGTTTTTTAAAATATGCTCTCACTCTTGTAGAGGTTGGGATAATCTCCATAAGTGAAATCCAAAGTGACACTTTGGAATTAGGAAGGCGCACTGAAGGAAACATGAGTACATCTTTGTTAAGTATCTCAATATTTTTTCAAGGCTTATACAAGTGTGAATAAGCTGACTATCCCTGGCTTTCTTTTCAGGGAGAAGGAAAGTTTGCAGTTGTTTTTATGTAGTTTGAATATTTAAGAAATGGGCTTTCACTTGAAGTGCTTTAGAATGAGAATGGCTTTTATTAAAAGTATAATGAGTTATTGTTCAAGATATATTTTCTGCTTTCTTTAATAATTTTCCACTGTGAAGCAATGACATTCTGAATCTTCTGGTTTGTTAGGAAAATCTCCCACAAAGAAGGGGAAAGAAAATTTGAGAATACTGAGGTGAAACAGCTGGGCTTTATATGTTAGATTATGAGAAAATACAGTACAACGTTTATTGGGATATAACAAGGGAAATACAAATCAAATTAATGAGGTTGTTTCATGCTTCTTTTGTGACCTTTGCTGATTGATTGGTTCATGGGCAGTAATTTCATGCCAGGTGTAACTGTCTACTAAAATAGCTACTTTGTGTTCATGGTTTTAGTGACGAGATTAGTACATTAAGTCAAATTGGTAAGATTCTGAAACCACATATAACAAACCATTATATATTGTTTACATACATCTCTATAACCGTAGATTTAATTTGATGCCCC